TAGAAAACAACTTAAAAATTCATTTTATTTTGTAACCATTATAGTAATAGTTTAGGCAAGAATCATCATGCTAAACTAGTCAACGAAAGCCTAATGAGGAATAAGATCTTTACATAGTCTCAAACTGTATCCCCACAAATGACTTATTGCTTTGAAAATACACAGTAACTTTATTTTACCCTGAGGAAATCTGGTAGACATCACCTTAATCACGTGATCAAAGTTTTAACATCACCTATAAACATCATATTTCTCCTGATAAACTATACTGAGAAGAATAAAACCTCATCTGCATAGTACAGAAGTGGGAAAGCTTTTCATGCTGGAAGACCACGTTAATTTAGCTGTAATCACATAAGGCTGCATTCAAGAAACTTCAATTAGATATACTTAAAAGTATACATTATTTTGTAAAAATCTAAGCATTAGGTACTTAATAATTTCAAAAAATGAAAACTAGCTGTTAATTTTAAACCTTTTAATGGCTTTGTTGTGTCTGCTTTTTGTTGGAAAGCATTTGAATATTTGCTTGCAGCATGGAGGGCCACAGTTTCAGTTGATCTTCTAGATAGATGGGCATCAGTCACTTATGACCTCAAGGGTGTCTTGATTTGGGTTAGGTAGGAGAACGCAGATTCACAGCAGTAAGTAGTTGAAAAGCAAAAAAGCATTTTTCAGGCATGTTGCCAATGATGTAGGTATTCTACATTTTTCTATATTTCAGTTGAATTTTCCTTAGCATAAAACAATGACTTTAAAATGTCAACTACAGAGTGCTCAATCAATTCCATCTGTAGTTCTTTAGGTGCCTTGGTGATGTCAACTAGGTGAGGCTGAAATGCTAAGTTGAGTGTGATGTCATGATTCTCACAGTCAGTGAAACTTTCATTGTATTTGCCAATTAATAAGGTCTATAGCAGCTGTGTATTTTTCAAATGATTCACAGATATCATTGATGACCTCTGCTAATGGGGAAAATGTTCACCTGAAATTTCCTTTTGAAGTATTTTCAAAAAAGATAGTTTTAGAAATGCTTAGATTTTTTGCCATGCATCATATATAGACTTAGTTTTACCTTGCAAAGAAATATTCAAGCATTTTCATTTGACATGATATCACACAGGAATGCTACATTCCTATAGATATCTTCTTTCAATAATTCACATTGTTAATTCTGTTCTTCATAAACTTTATCTGTTCCTGCAGAGATACAATTTTGGCTAACACTTGTCCTTGCAACAGCCAATGCACATTAGAAGGATATGGCAAATCCACACTGAATATCTCATTGTTCATGTTACGAAACTGATGATGCCATGTTACATTTGCATGAATATAGTTAACAATACTTATAATTTGTTGCAAAGTGTCACTTAAAATAGCTTTAGCACAAAGATTTTGCAAGATACAATGAAAAGAAATGAGAGCATCTGGATCTGTTAATCCTTTTTTTATCTGTGCAATAAACCCTTCATGTTTTCCTGTCATGGAAGATACACCATCTGTACATACACTCACTAAATTCAGTCCAACTTCACCACATTTATCTTGGAAGTTGTTAAAGATATGTATTCCCCCTGTTCTGTTTGCAAGAGTGCCCAAAGTAAGTCTTTGTAGCAAAGAAAATCTTCTGTTATGACCTGAATGAAGTATAAAACCTGTGCCATGTCAGTAGTATAAGCTGATTCATCCAAAGCCACTAATACATACTAATATTTTCCTTTTGAAGGACTGCATGAAGATGTTCTGTCAAGTTGAAAGCCAATTATGCTGTTGATCAGTTTTGGTTCTCCTGGGAAGAGGCAGTTGTTTGTACTTTGAAAGGCTATCAGGCTCTAGGCATCTACAACTTCAACAATGCATTCTTTTCCAATTTGTACATCACTGAATGGCTTCCCTTTTATCCAGGGTATATAAGCTACTTTATAAGTTGCTTCTGTGGCATTATTTCCAGGTCTTACTGCTGCTTGAAAGACTTGTCTTTGCTTTTGCTTTTCATCTTTTAATTTCCTTTGATGCCCCTGCCTCTAATTTAAAATATTTGTGGTCCTTATGAATGTCATAATGCTGATGAGCACTGAATTCCTTTAATGTTGATATTGCAGTATCACAAAGTAAGCAAATCATCTTATCTTTAGCAGAAACAAGATAATATTGCAATTCCCAATCTTCATTTAAAAAATTATGTTCTTCCTTCAGCATTCTCTTGGTCTTCTTTGACATTATGGGCTGTTAGGCAGACAGAATTAAAAAATACTGTCGAGCTGTGCAACTACTCACAAATTCCACTTCAAACAGAAACACAGTGTACCACTGTCAAAAGCTGATAACAGACCGGTGTACTCGACCCCATAAACTCTCGCCAACCAGCTTCTTGCAGTAGTGGCACCAGTCAGGTGGGGGAAGTTAGAACTAAATCATGAGTGTAGCAGCTGTCAACTTAGCCTTTATGGCTTACCATATAATCATGTTGGTCAATCTGGGGGATTATTTCGCTGAAACGTATTTTATTCTTTGGCATTTTAAATATGTCCATTTAAAAATATATATAAAGACAAACAAAAATGTATTAATGAAAATAAAAGGATTTTTTCTGTAAAATTTGGATTCAGTCATAACAACGCACTTAAGGACCTAAAAGGCCACATGTGGCCTTAAAGCTGCATATTCCCCACCCCTGGCATAGTATTCTGCCAAAAGTGCATAATATGAATCTAATCATAAGCAAACATTGGACAATGTTTTCATGTTAAGGAACATGCTAGAAAATAATTGATGTGCACTTTTCAGAAACGTCATTGATGTGAAAGACACAGAAATGCTGAGGAACCATTCTAAATTAACGGAGACTAAAGACACATGAAAACTAAATGTATAGTGCCAGGGGTCCTCAAACTACAGCCCACGGGCCACATGCGGCCCGCCAAGGACATTTATCCTGCCCACTGGGTGTTTTTGCTGCCACTGCCTGTCCTGCTTAGCAGCCAAATCGTTCCAGGCCCACAGTGCGCATGTGTGCAATGTGCGCCGCACTCTCCAACGGCCCTCCAACGGTCTGAGGGACAGTGAACTGGCCCCCTATTTAAAAAGTTTGAGGACCCCTGGACTACAGACCTTGTCCCAAAACATAATTGCAATAAGGACAGTATATCTATATCATAGATAATAGTATTGTATCAATGTTGAATGGTTTTGAAAACTGTACTATGGTTATATAAGTGAATGTCTTCGTCCTTAACAAATACATACTAAAGTATTTAGTAAAGGGTAAGAGGTCCTCAACTTACTCTCAAATAATCTGAGGAAAAAAATGTGTATACACACAAAATCACATACATAGAAAAAAGCAAATGTAGCAAAGTGTGACTGGTGAATATGGGTAACAGGTATATGATAGTTCCCTGTACTATTTTTGCAACTTTTAAGTTTGAAGGTTTGAAATTATTCCAAAATTAAAAGATAAAAAAATTTAATATTACTTTTAGATTGCATGACCCTACAACTTGTCTCAAAGCATGAGGTATCATACTATTTTGCATTGTATACCGCTTAAGTTTCAAGAGAGGAAAAAAGCTAACAAATCATAAAGTTTTAACTTATTTATGCACAGGATAAGAATAATCAGAATAAGCTGAGTATTCTGGTGGAGGCTGGCATGACTGGGCCAAAGCCTGTTGCTCCCTTTTCTCCTGAGCACACGGCCAGACTATGTCTCCTAGCTCCCAATGCTGCTGTGGGTTGTATGAGAGTTCTGGCCAGGGGGATGTGGCCTCAAACACCCTCCCATGTGATCCTCCAGGCTCTCTCTTCTCTTGTGTGCTGACCAGATATGGAAGATCCAGAAGAGGACCGTGAGGCCTAGGAGGAAAACGTTAATACAAGCAGCCTTGTCCCTAAATCACTGTGGTGGGCAGAGCCTCAGCCACTGGCCTGCAATGGACTGTGATATGAACAAGAAATGAACCTTTACTGTGTCAAGACACCAGTGTTTGGGGAATATCTCTCATAGCAGTTAGCAACCTAATAAAGCTACCCAATTTATAAAATAAATTGACAGAATGGTGACACTTCAGGAAAACACAGTAAGTGAGGATGGCATGTATTTGTTTTCAGAATATACTTTAGAATAACAGTTTTCAAAATGTGGTTAAGGGATTCTCGGTTCTCAAAGGGTAGTCTGGGGACCTCTGAGGGCTTCTAAGACCCTTTCAGGGACGCAGTGAGGTCAAAACCATTTCAAGACAATACTAAGATGTTATTTGCTTTTTTAACTCTTATTCTCTCACAGTATTTGTGGATTTTTTTAGAGGTGACATGATGTGTCACAATAGACTTAGTGGATGAGCAGATAGGAAAACCTGCCCTCTATTTAGTTAGACAATAAAGAGATTTGCAAAAATGTAAAATAATGCCACTCTTCATTAAGTTTTTTTTTTTGCTTTGGAAAATATAGATATTTTGTGCTATAGTTTTTTATAGGTATTTATGCTACCATGTGTTTATTATTTCTAAGTAATAAACATATTTCTAATTACTCAGTGTTAATTTCCAATATGAGCGATACAACCTACATAAACAAAAGCTCTTTGGGAGTCTCGATATTTCCTGAGACCAAAGAGTTTATAACTGCTGTTTGAGGGTCCTCACTTGATTCTCATTTATTCAAGAGCACAGGTTCCAGAACATTGTAGGTGTTCATATATATTTGTTAAAATAGTAAATTGTATAATGGTGATAATATCCATAGTTCAGAGTTGTGATAATTGAAAGAAACAGTGCATGTGTGTGTTTTCAGTAGATTATCACTGTTCACAATTATTTGCTATTTCCCTCATGGAGATTTTATATATTCCCCTTCCCCACTGACTCTCAGCTTGGCTGTGTTAACTGAACTGGCCAATTGATGTCAACAGAAGTGGCATGTGCCACACACAGATCTGAGGAGAAGCTTTAAACTCAATTGTGCGTTTCTACTCAGACTCTTGCTCTTCTGCTCTCACCTCATGAACAGCATGTCCCAGATAGGGGCTGTTTGTTCAATCCGGGTTCTGAAATGAGAAGACACAAAATAGACACATAGTTCACCTATAACTAAAGCAGAGATGCAGCCTCCCTGTAGCTCTCAGGTAATGCAAGGCAGATAAATATGAAATTTTGTAAGCCACCTTAGCAAACCTGACAAAAACAGATGTTCAATAAACCTAACCATTCTAATCAGGGTTACTGTTTAGCTAGAGGAGCACTAAAAACTGTAGCTTAGTCCTTGAATAGTGGCTGCACATAGCAGAGCCTACACTAATTAATTAGACAGTACCATTGAGATAACCTTAGGATTTTAGGTAAATGAAGTTCATGACCTAAGACAAGAGTGGTCTCAAAGTAAACCTGACTCTAATGAAAAATTCTGGCTACCATTTACCCCTGGAATGCCACTAGAGGGGCTCAGGAATATCTGTATAAGTCACTGGCAGGTGACTGAGAAAAAAAGAAGTGGTAAGGTGACTGTCAAGTGTATATAATCAAGGAGCAGTGCAGTAGGTGTATCAGTCCATCTGCCTCCCTGCCCCACCCCCTTCCTAGGGAATCTGCTCTGGCTTATAATCTCTAAAGCTGAAACCAAAGATGGAGCAGCTAACTTAAAACTAGTGATTGGCCAAGGATCAATTCTGATTACACTTTCAAATTTAACTAGAAGATACACAGACTGAATCTGGTCAGACAGTGATTGGAGTTGTAGGGTCATAGAAGGATATATACTGGAAGCCATTATTGCCCCCATGCACAATGACAGGTAATCAGAGAAAGCTGGTCTGCAGGATGAAACAGAAGAACCAAGAAGACTTGCAAACAGAACCAGAGGTGAAAGAGCAGCTGCCGGAGGGAGAGAGACTGTTGTGTCACCTCTCCTATGAGGCCTATACCGGCTTTTGCAGTTGGATTCCTTAAGATCTCTACACGTTCTTCGAATACATATTTTTTTACTTGAGATAACTTAAATAGATTTCTGTCCCTAAAACCCAAATGATCATTAAAAGAAGTTGTTTTTAAAAAGGACAAACTAATTGGTTTTAATTAAAGTTGTCTTCAGGGAGTTTAATTACAGGCTGACAATCAGAGCTTCATCCAAGAGCCAACCATGGTGTTCCATGGCTTTAGAACAGCCTTGAAAACATTTACTTGTATATATTCCTATCCTTTTGAGAAAATTCAAGAGAATTCATTTCTCCTTCCCCGAATTCTTCTGCCTTTACTTGTTCTTTGATATAGTTACCATTCTGCCAGTAGAAGTGAGCCTGAGAGAAATGCATTTTATACATGGCAAAGCAAATTAAGGCCCAGTCACTAGTTTTCTAGGGACTGAGGGTTAAGAAGGAGAAAGCTTAGCACTCTCCTAATCCTGTTCACTCACTTTCTACTCTAATTCTTGTGTTATTCCATTATCTTTTTCTAATCAAGAACCACGCTGACAGTATATCAATACATTTCAGTACAAAACAATGTAACAAGCACTACTGAGGACCCACCATGCATACAGAATTCCTTTAAGTGCTGTGGGGACTATATTGATGAATAAGACATAGATCCTGCCCTCAAAGGAGTCATGTGTACAATTATGAGAACACTGAGGAAGCAGAGACTCACTACCACTGGAAGACATGGAAAGTATTCATGGAGGTTATGCATTTGAGTTTTGCCTTAAAGAATGACTGCATTTTCAAAACATGGAGAGATGTGATTAGGTTGGATGAAAACTTGAGCCAAAGGCATGAAAGCTTATGAGATGTGCAGTAATCAAGGTGGCTACAGCAAGGAAGAGGAGTGGAATCAGTTGTGGAGAGGTGTCTGAGATGAGGGTCACTGGGTACCCAGTGACCACAACTTTGTGGGGCATTTGAATGAAACTAGAGCTGCAGCAAATCCTAACAATTTTTTCCCATGAACCTAGACTGCTTGAGACCAAAAAATCTAACACTTAAAATTCAAAGACTGATCATTTAAAAACTCAAAACAGATGTTAGAGTACCTTAAAACACAGAATTTAAATGTGATTAAAATGTACAATGTCAGCTTTATTTGACTATGCATTCTCATACAATTTTAAAGAGAAAGTTGAGCCGTATCATGGATTTCAAACTTTTGAGGGATCAATAGCATCCTCTGTTCATATAAAACATATAAACATATTCATCCCAAAATGTACATAAGATTGAAAAAAGGAAGGATGGATTGTTATGTTTGATACTTCAACAGAGGTAAATCAAAAGTGTTTAAAAAGCAATGGATTAGATTATTTTAAATGTTCTTTCCAGCTAACTCTAAAATGTCATTTTTAAACATAAGTATTATTACTTTACTAGTTCAAAACGACCCATATCTTCACTCTTTCTCCCAAAAGAAGTATACCACACAACAAACTGAAACTGACTTAAGGGGAGTTTAACAATATAAGGAATTAGAAATTGCTAAACGAAGGAAATTAACATTTACTAATCATGCACTACATGCCAGTACATTAGGTCTCTGTAACAAATCTAAAGTCCACTTAACTTGTATTATAACAACTAGACAATGTCTTTTGTAAACAGAGCTTAGAAATTCAAAGTTCAATAATAGCCTCATTGGGATCCAAATGCTTTGGCCCCTGAAGATCTCACGGCCTACTTGGAGGTAGAGAGTTGGTTTTGGAGATATCTAAATAATAAGACCATTATGTGATAAATGTCATAACAGACATATATAAGTGCTATTGAAAGATATGTTTGTGATTTACTACATATATACCATTCTATCAAAGTCATTTCTATGAATCCAAATGAAGATTCTAAAATATTTTTATATATAATTAAGAAACTACAATTTATAGAACACAATTACAAAAATCATAAACCACAGACATATCAGCACTCCCCATAGGGGGAATCCCCTTGTATTTATCACTGGGCAACTTCATCAAATGACCTCATAAAGCTCCATGATATACTTTATTTTTGTTTTTATTATTTCCAAAAAGAAATTGTTCCTCATATGAAAATAGTTTCAGAATGTTCTACTAATGAAAATATCCTAAATTATCATAAATTTTATAATTGGGACTATATGGGTCCATTAATATACATATTAATATACATATTATGTTCGATTTTATAGATGTTTCAAATTATTATTTTCAATAATTAAAATAATTAAATGCCAGAGTAAAAATAAAATATAGTGAAAGGGAAGGAGAGCCAAACCAGAGGGGACATTACTCCTGACAAAAAAGAGTATCATGTATCTCCTACTATGTATCATAGCACTAAAGAAACGTATCCACATGACAATGTCATATCAAAGAAGGGAAAGTATTTGGAGGATCTGTGATTTGCTGTGAGTCATCTTCAATCATCCCTATCAGTAAAGACAGAGACAGTGGGAATAGCAAAGATCTGTCTGTTTATCATGCCTTAAGTCATTGGAAGTCTACCTGTTTATATATTTTTTCCCAGGTCCTGTTTCTTCACAGATAAACATTCCTCCCTATCTGTGGTTCTACACTTGGTCTGGCCACCTATAACTCCCTTCGTACTAAGACCCTGATGACAGGAGTTCCTGTAGTTGTCTTTGAATTAAATCACTGTGTCCATACCCATACAATAGACATCACTTCTTTTTTCATGTTATGCTGATCATTTCTTTCCTGTTAGAGAATTTGCATGAGTCAACAGTCAAGTAGCCTCTCAAGGAAAAGCTGCTTTTCTGTCTCTCTTCAGGACAAGTACCATGACAACTTCACAAGGAAAACAGACATGCCCAATTTGTCTCAAAATGTTTCAGAAGGGAACTTTAAAAATTAAATATTACCATACTCTTATATAAAAATATAAAAGTTACAAATTAATATTTACCGTGCACTTACTGTTTGGCATTATTGAATTTAATCCTAACTACCCAACAAATAGATATAAATATCATCCCCATTGCACAGAGGAGGCTGTGACATACAGAGGTGTTCAGCAACTTGTCCAGGGTCACCATGTTAATAATGGCAGAGCCAGTAACTCCCAAGCCTATAATCTGACTCATCACAGGACCCTGACTTGTGCCCTGATAACGGATATGGCAAACATTTAACTGCACGGTACTTTATCAAATGTATGGTCTTTTATTAATTAATGCTTTATTTTACAGAGTAAAAACACTTCCAAATATTTGTATATGTGCAATTTTTTCTTTTGCTACTATTTTACTTTAGCTTTAATCATGCATCTAGTTTATCTAAAGAGTATTGTAAAAATAATTTAGAAAAGTAAAATGAACCAAACTAAGAAACAAGAAAAAAAGTGACTTTTCAGAAACATACGTTTTATAAAGTACATGACATTTGATTTATATACCTATCACATGTGTTATCTAAAGCTTCTACAGAAAACCTATTTTAAGGCATGCAAATTTAATATATTAAGTCAGTATGCAAAGCATCTTAAAGTGCTCTCTTTGCTAATGCATGTAACAAAATATACTGATTATGCAAGTACATTTAATTGGATATAATTAAAATAATGAGATTTAAATACTGATGATTTTAAAAAGAAAAAATAGAAGTTGAAATTATCCACGAGATGCATTCAAAATGTTAATGAAACTTGCAATGTCACTACTACTTTAATATACAATACTTCTGGTTTAAAAAAGAGCTACTACTGGCCATTGTTGCCCAATTCTAAACACGTAGTTTAGAGATGTATTCACTTGGTAATATGAAAGATTTCATTGGATAACATAATCATTCTTTGCACTTGGATAACATCTCTTTTTCAAATAACTAGAGCTAGAAGTAACCACTATTTTCTTCAAAAGTAGGCATCAAATGAACAAAAAGATAAGAAAGCAAATATTCCACCGGAAGAGAGCTGTGCTTGGTTAAATGAACATAATCTCGAATGCCCTCAACAATGTCATTCTGACCTAAATATATCAAATTTAGGTATTCTCTCAACTCCAGTGGCTTTAAAGAGGCTGAAGATGACCAACGACATAGGAAAAGAACAGGTCTGTAGCTGTGAGGCCA